ACCTGAGCGGGCGGCCCCGAACGTCGCTGGTCTCCCCCCGCCAGCCCGCCCAGCCTTGTGCTGCCCTCCCCGCCTCCCCCCGTCTCTCCCCGCCCGCCAAGCCTTGTCCTGCCCTCCCCATCTCGCCGCTCTCCCCCCCCACTGCGGTCTTTCCCCGCTCCTAACTGAGGCCTGAGTGGCTTGCAGCCGCCAGGCCTCGCTGGTCTCTCCCCGCCCGCCAGCCCACCAGCCTGCCAGCCCGCCAGCCAGCCAGCCAAGGCTTGTCCTGGCCTCCCGTCCCCTGCACATGCGCAGGGGACGCCCTCTTAGTTTCGGGGGGATTTAAACATCCCCCCCCCAATTTTTTCCCCGGGGTTTCTCATTTTTCTGCAGGCGTGGGGACCGCCCCACGTGTCCCCAAACCTCTCCCTGCCCCCCAGGTGGCCCCGGAGCGCGGATTTAGATATCCGCACGCACGGGGCCACTTCAGTATTAGTATAAGGATAAGTATATGAATAATCTGAATTTAAAAGATCATTATATATCCCCATCCATACTACAACACCAGAATATATCTTAGGGCCACGTAACATGGATGTTAGCCCTGGGAATATTGACTATGAAGCCACCTGGTTAAGGACAGAAGCGTCAAAGTAAATACATGTGCATGATTGCAAAAGGTTGAATGTGTCCATGGCTTTTTCCAACAGAACCTACAGCTGAGAGCGGCTCCAGTACTTCCTCTGGAGATGAAGAATGGTATGAGAACATCCACAAACCAGAGCAGCAAGATAGCCTTCCAAGACATGAGCCTTCCCTTGGAGGTAAAGATCAGGAATGTTATGAACGGAAACACTTTTAGCCTTCAGTATATATATTTTTTCTACCTAAGGTTGTCACAGAATATAAGACTGTTGAAATCTTTTCAAAATGTCAGAGACAAGTTTAATATTTTTATTTTAGTGTTTATATCCTTTCCTTTATCGTCATAGCCCAAGACAGTTTATGCTTAAATAATATAATTAAAACATAGCTTATTAAAATACAACAAAACATCCTAAATTCAAAATCAGCACCCCCATATGGTTGTTTTGTAATATATATGGTAAAATAAATATACACTTAGTCTCCTCACACAAAAAATTCCCGTTGAAATACTACAGTTTTGACCACCCATCTAAAGGCTTCCAGTGAGTGTTCATAGGTAGCTCCTTCAGTTAGGATATAGTCATACTTGAGAAGGCCCAGGAGTGGGGGGAGGCAAGACAGGCACTCTCATTAAGGCATAACCTGTATGTTCATATGCAATTGGCAACCAGGCTCATAGAGAGACCGATTTCCCACAAGCGCTGCTCCGCGTTCGCTCTTCCCTTTTGGCCCGATGGTACGTGTCAATTTCACACAAGCTGCTGCACAGCCGCATTTTGCCCCGCAGCTTAGTGCGATTTCCCCCCGCGTCTACTCAATCCTCAAAAAACAGGGAGTTCTCATTGAGGGCCAAGTACAGCCACGCTCGGCCTGCAGGGCACAGCAGAGGGGGGCTCTTGGCAGGCACTCCTGTCCCCCCCCCACTCCCGCCAGAGCACCTCCTGGGCAAACAGATTGTTTCATCTTGCTGAATGCCAAGAGCGATGGGTTGTGGCTTCTCTGGACTCGGCCATGGCTGGCCCATAAAAGCCCCATTACCACTGTCCCAAGGCCAGGCGGCCAAGACACCTGCCCAACACTGTTCAATGCTCCCACAGACCCCCAGACAGAAAACCAAACGCAGGTTGTGGGACTCAGGTCTGGCTTGGCATGCAACCCTCCCTTCAGAAATGTAACAACTGAATGGAGCCTCATAGTTATGGAACACATGCACGGAGGCACAACATTACTTAAAATGTATACAGACTTCTACACAAGGAAGAGAAACTCTGGCAAACTTTTGACTGTGGCTCAACTAAAATTCAGTGTGGGGCTGCCAGTGTGGGGCAACCCCTGGTTGCCCCACAGGAACAGTCATCAGGGGGGATGAGCACTGCACATTCTCATTTGAACAGCCCCGCAAGCCCTTCACAACGATGCCTGGCTCCAGGGGCAGCCAGGCAGAACAGAAATCTTCTAAAGAGAAAAATGCTAAGCTGGAGCTGACCCACGTATCACACAATTTTCTCCCTCATTACCTGATGAGACTTGCTGAAAGAACATCCAGCTGAAGATCTGTATCACTAAAACATTTCAGCACAGCTTTAAGCATCGTCTTTGTGGGAGAAGTCTCTCTGCTTCTCAGCAGCTGACCCAAATGCACTTCTTTTTCTTTGCTTCAGGTCTGACAAATCTTTCCCGACCTTTGGTGAACTGCAAGGCTGGGACTGACTCGTCTGACAGCAGCATTTATGATGATATGTGGCCCTCTGAGTGAGAGGGGGCGAAGCTGCTCTGAGGTTGCAGCGCCTTCTTTTCTTCAGAATAAGCTGAGGATGAAAAGCCTGAGAACAGAAATGGACTTCTTGTTGTCACAAGTTGCTCTGTGCAGATTCAGTGAGAGAAAATAAATTGATCCCAGAATCAAATCCCATCAACAGTGAACTGTCAATTTTCAGTACCATCTGGGGATATTACACCCACTGTCTTAAATTTCCAAAGTGTACTATTTTGGGAGAAGCCCTGTGAGGGGGAATGCTGAGCTGGAAACCCTTACCTGATCCTGTTTTGTCGGTCAGTGGTGTACCAACACAAAATGACAGAGACAGATTCCTTTAAGCCTTATCTCTAAATCACCTGGCTTCCAGCTTCAGAATATAGACACCTGATACAGGATCTTCCAGAAGTAAGCACAAGCAAATTGCCTTGTGTTGTGTTATATCAGCAACACATACTTCCCATATGATGCCAGCACTTTTAAGAGTACTCATTCCGGGAATCAGAACCCTCAGGCAGTACCTGGGGAACATGTATTCTGTTAGGAGAGAGCTTAGTTCATTCCAAGGAATACTTAAATTTTCTAGACAGGATTGTTTTCCCCCCATCGATGGGATTAGTGTGTTTGCTACTCCACCTGAAGAAATGGAGATCTACCTTTCAGAGGATCATCCCTTCCTAAGAAGCTGTATAGGGAGTTACGGCTAGAGTGGGGGCAGTTTTAGCCAGTTTAGGGGGTTGCTTTTTTGTTTTTGTTTTGTTTTTGCCAAGCACAATATGGTAGTTGCCAGTCAGGTGGGTATCTGAAAAGCAAGACAGGCTTGTGAATGGGGAAAGGTAAGCTGATTCTTGCCTTTGTTGTTACACAGCATGAGTGAAAGATCACCCCCCCCCCCATATATTCTGTTTTTTGAGAAGGGCATCTGAGGGAAAGATAATCAACAATGACCCTTCTCATAGTGATATTATAAAAATGTATTTACTAGGACTTGAGGGCCTGTGAGCTCCTGAGACAGAAGGCTCCTGAGCTGCGGAGTCCTGTGAGCAAGAATTCTGCTTTGGGAGCCACTGGGCATTAAAGTAGTGAGCGAGCAATTTGGCTGCTGCATAAATTAGTTTGCTCTGGAGCCCTCCTTCCTGAGCCAAGAAAACAATGTGTGAGCCAGAGGCTAAAAAGTTGTGAGCTAGCTCATACTAACTCAGTTTAGAGGGAACACTGCTCCTGAGACAGATTAAAAACATTATTTAAGGAAGTATGGACAAGAGATGCATCCTCTTCTTGTGTGGATATCATGCAGGATTGCTGGTTATTTTCTTATGCAGTAGGAGGTCTCTAAAGAAGCCTACACTGACAATATTCTTCTACAAGATAGTCAATATGTATCCTTCCACTGCTAATAGAAGACCTCATTTAAAGCCAAACAGTAGTCTTTACAATGACTATAGCTCAGGGCTGCTACATATGACTGCTTTAAAGTGTGGCAGCCATTTTGTTTGATCCTCTGTAGTAATACCATGTTAATGTTTGTGAATTATCCTTCAGAGAAGAAAGCTGCAGTTTTATTTTTCTAGCTGCTCAAACTACATTTGGAAAGTTTGTGCTGAAGAGCAAAATCACAGCTTGTGATAATAGGGAGGGACGGAGTCATTTGGCCAATTTGCCATAAGGATGAAGCTTCCATGAGCTGGGGAAGTGGCCATCTCAAGCAGAGGGATTGTGTGCTTCAGCTCTCATTCTCTCCTTGCTCATTTTAATGTATTGAATAGATGTTAGGATAAATCAGTGTTAGCACTTTCTTCTGATGTTCTATAAGCACCATATACAAGGTGTAAAAGGTGTTCCTACCCGACACCAACAATCCCGCCAAGTCTGCTGTTAGGTTGTGCTTTATCCTAGCTGTCCAGACCTAGGAAGAAAGGGTATAGTGCTAGATATTGACTGGAACTCACAGGCAGCCTGGGATGAGTGTCGGAATTAAAATGTATCTAAACCAAATAGTCACATTAAAACCATATTCAGAGAGGCAGGAAAATTTAAGCTTAGTTTTCTAAAGATCAGAATGTTTCTTTTATGTGAGACAAATTTGTAAATCTAGGGAGAGACCATAACTGTATGTAGAAAATCCTTACATAATTGTATGTAGAAAATCCTAGATTCAATGCCTGGCATCTCCATCTCAAAGAATCCCAGGTAGAAAGGGTACTGCACCTGCATGCAACATTGTGACCGAGGCAGGAAGCATCTAACAACTATGATGAATGTAGTGGATGAAACCAAAGCACAAATATTTCTTCGAACCATCTATTGGTTATTTGTTTAACTCACTTCAGCTAGTTATACTTTTGCACTTTGTATTTTTCCCCCCAATGAACACATGTTAGAATTAAAGCACAGTTGTTGTATGGAAGGATGGAGGAACATCCATAAACCAGGATGAAGAGCTAGGGGACTAACAGTCTCTAAGATATGTGTGTGCCTGTGATGTGCCTGTAGGGACACATTCATGCATCTTCCTCAAGCAGCGGTTTTTGAAGCCTGGGACAGCTGAGGAACATGGAGCCCTAGGGAGGTTCAGAATCTTGAGTTAGCCCACCATCGGTTAAGAACTAGTGAGATGAATACCCCTGGCAGAGGACCCTCACTGCTCCATATGGCATTTTGGGGATTCATGTCATCCTCAATACTCCAGCTATCTCACTGAGATTTTAGAAGCTCAGAAACTGCTGCTACTTTCTTCATATGTGACTGTACGAAGGAGCTCAAAGAACAAAACATTGTACACTATACATAAGAAAACAGGCTCTGTTCAAATACAATCTAATGTGATATCCAAGAATGTATTTTCTGTTCACTATTTTTCTTCACATGCTAGTGTTAAGCCAGAGTCCTTCCTCATCAATACTTGGTGAAGTAAGAGTCCCCACCAGTTTGTGTACTTTGCTATTCCCCATGTTGCATAAGTATTTTTTTTAAATGCACACCAAACTTTTTGCAAATACAACCACCAGATCTGTACCATGTGAGCCTAGCTTCATTCCTGGCTAAAGACATTTGTTTGCATGCTTTCTTTGCTTGTATGAAAACAATTAGCAGGCAGCCTTCTTTTGAAGTCTTTGGTAGTTAATGGAATCTAGTTATTGAATAAAAATTGGGGGTTTTAATTTATTTACTTCATTCGTACCTAAGTTTTGTCCACAATGGGGACCCAAAGTAGCTTACAACATTCTTCCCTTCTCCATTTTACCCTCACAACAATCCTCTGAGGTAGCTTTGACTGAAAGCATGTAACTGGCCCAAGGTCACCTAGCGAGCTTCCATGGCAGAATGGAGAATCAAACATAGGCCTTCCAGGTCCTAGTCAAACTTTTTATGATTGAACTGATTGAAAACTCAAGGACAGCTGTTTTGAGTATCGCCTAGTGTATAGTCCAATATGGCCTCGCTGCCACTGTACCGGGGTTCCCAACCCTCATGTGGAGTGTGGAGATCTCCTAAAGTTATAACTCACCTCCAGACTACAGAGATCAATTCCTCTGGAGGAAATGGTCGCTTCAGAGGATGGACTCCATGGCAACACATTCCCACTGAACTGCCTCCCCTCTTTGGTCTCTGCTCCCCCCCCCCCCATGCACCACTTGCAAATCCCCAGGAATTTCCCAAGTTGGCAACCTTCCACAATGCCAAGAATTCTACTGTAATCCACCTGCCTACCAGTATTACAACTAGTACTCCTGTCCACAGTTCCTTGCAGGCAGAGGGCTGTGTAAGCACACAACTGCATGCAAGGATCCTTGCATACTCACTAAAGGAATACATGCTTAGTCCTGAGTCTGGAGTGTGTGCTGAAGGTAGAATAAGCCTAGAAACCGGGAGGGGGGCAGTTCAAAACGTTTGGGAGACATTATCCTAAAGGCCAAAGCGTTTTGTAATCAGAGTGGGTGGGTGGGTAGCAGGAGCCTGAGAAGGAAAAACCTGAACATCTGTCAAAAATTCTCAAGGACCCAACCTGGTTCTACTTCCTCTAGGTTTTCAGGGTGAACTTTCAAAGGCCTTTTCAAACATGATTTTTCAGTGAACAAAGTTGAGATATTTTAAGTGTACCTCCAGTGTGAATGTGTTGATAATGCATATAATATGTGTCCACTTCTCAAGGAAACAGGATTGGCACTAGCAGAGCTTAGTTTGTTCTCTTTAACGTGTGGAAAGTTTCCCACCAAACATGGCAACTCAAGGCAGCTTACAAAATTTGACCCATAGCTAGCAAACAACTAAAATTAGAAACAGACAATTGGGGGAAACACCCAGTGGCAACAACCCGTCTTCCATCTACTGACTTTCCTTGTAAATTGCCAACCCTCCTGGAAAGAACAGCCATACAACCATTATGGAAAGAGGACAGCGTGGAAGGCCTTTGCACTTGGTGTTGGGTATTTGCTTGAAAAACATAAGAGAACATAAGAACATAAGAGATGCCAATGTTGGATCAGGCCAAAGGCCCATCCAGTCCAACACTCTGTATCCCACAGTGGCCAGAAATACCAGGGCCATCAGGAGGTCCACCAGTGGGGCCAGGACTTTAGAAGCCCTCCCACTGTTGACCCCCCCCCCCAAGCACCAAGATGACAGAGCATCACTTGCCCCAGAGTCCCTATCTATACCTTGTGGCTAATAGCCACTGATGGACCTCTGCTCCATATGCTTATCTAATTCCCTTTTGAAGCCGTCCATGCTTGTAGCTGCCACCACTTCCTGTGGCAGTGAATTCCAAGTGTTAATCACTCTAAACAGGACTCTACAAGACGCACAAGGCAGTAAGAAGGCAATCATTCCTTCCTACTCCCCATATCTAGTCTATCTGAAACAGAGTTCTAGCCCGTCAAAGTTCAGAACTCTAAATGCACGTGGTGTGGAGAGTTATTCCAAGTGAAGAGACAGCATTTTATATGGACAGGGAGCAGATGCTGAGTCAGTTTGTATATATAAGCCACGTTCCAGAACAG